CCCAGTATTCTCGTACCAGTGGGCACTCCCACCACAAGTGGGCAAAAGAGCCCATCTCTCCACAGGCGCGCCAGCACAGAGGTGAGGTTGAAGGGCAGATGGCGTGAGTAGAGAGTGGGACCAGTGCCATCTGGCCAAAAGTTCACTTCCATCATATAACTATCAGAAGAGACTGATGAACACATTCGCACTAATGTGGATCTCTGAGATGGGGTAAGAGAGTGTTGCAACTCCTGCTCCCATTTTTCAATATAGGGCGGGGGTAGCACATCCCTCAGGTCACTAAGGATCTTATAAATAACCGATAGACTATGGCTCGGGGGTTCGGAGGCCCCTAAAAAAATTAAAAAATGTAAGAAACTCTCAGGTAAGCGGAGAGGGCCATGGAGCTTAGACAAAAAGTGTTGGAGCTGTCTATGTCTCCAGAAGTCCATCGTGTGGGTGCCCCATCGGTCCCGCAGAGATTGTAGGGAGCGGAGAGAAGCTCCTTGAAGGTCTTCTTTCAGATGTAGGCAGTTGGATTCAGTCCATAATAAAAATAAAGAGTCACATTTCCCTGGTGGGAAGTAGTTGGAGTTTGTCAAAGGTAGCAATATCGAGTTGTAAGACCAATCGTATGTCCTATGCAAGAGATCCCATGTAGCCAAGGTGGCAGAAGTGAGCGGAGAAGTCATGTGGGACAGAAACCTCTTGGGGGGTGGAATCCAGATACTACCAGACAGAGAAGAGTCACACAGTGCATTTTCTAGGGCCACCCAACCTTTTTGCGAGGCATGGTACATCCAATCCACCAGTCTGACAAATTGGGCTGCCTTATGGTAGGTTTTAAAATCGGGGAAGTTAAGGCTGCCGGTAGATTTATGTCTGCATAGGATGAGGTGGGAGATTTTTTTTTTTTTTTTCGTTTCCAGATAAATTTAGATATCAGGGAGCTTGGTAAAGCAGGTAGCTTGGTAAAGTAGGCTGGTGGAAGGGCGATTGGGAGCATTTGAAAATAGAACAGGACTCTAGGGAGAACCATCATTTTGAGAGCGTTAATTCTACCCAGCCAGGACATGGTACGTAGCGAGTAGGAGGTAAGGTCGGATTTCACCGAATTTAGTAGGGGAATATAGATAGTTAGGTATAAGTCCAAAAATCTAGGGGTCGGAAACAATCGAGTATAAATTGGAGCAGGATTACACACCAAAGTGCCGCTCACCAAAAAAAGCCGTCTACTCACCACATTGGGGTGAGTACCCATCTAGAAGGGGGGCCGTCGGACTGCAACCGAATTAGATCACTTATTATTTGTGTTTGTCTCCCCCGGCTTTTAAATGACTATCCACTGAAATTGTGTTTTTTCACCGATCTGACATCCTCATTGAAAGAGTGCTATTTGGAGATCAGCTTATGAATTGTTATTTATTGCTGATTGACTCTGAAAGACTACCACGATCTTTGCTACATATTTCTGACTGTTGACCTAATGTAACACTCCATTATTATTTTTGTTTCACATTTGTTACTGTCACTAGTTATTGTGTTTTTTTGTTTCTCACAGTTCCTTTGACACTAATTTTTTTATTTTTTCGCATTTTTGTTATAATTTTGTCTAAGAATTTTATTTAAGATATTTATTGATACTTATAATAATTTTAACCTTACTTTAGGCTGAGGTTAAAATACCCAGCCCTGGTTTACTTACTATTTTCACTGGATCACTTGATTTTTCATTTAAACACTTGTTTGTATTTAATATTATTACCTTCATGGTTTACACCTTTAGCGCTTTGATTTAATCTTTTTCATTCAATCTAAGGAGTTTTCTTCCTTTTTTCTTAGCTTCTTTAGGTTTGAATTTAATTTATTTATTTATTTTAGTTAGTTCCAAAAGCGCAGACTATTTTATTTCATAGTAGGGGAATATAGTTAGTTAGGTATAAGTCCGAAAATCTAGGGGTGAGGTGAATGCCTAGGGAGCGCATACTTGTCCCCTGCCATATGAAGGGAAAGTGGGGCATTAAGCTTAGACAGTCCGCTCTCTTCACCTGATCTTCACATGATCTCTCTTCACATGATCTCCGATTTACCCAGATTAATCTTAAAACTGGATAATTCCCCATAGATGCATAGCTCAGACAAAATATGAGGGAGTGAGATCCTAGGTTCTCTCATCTCACGTAAAACATAATGTCATCAGCGTATGCTGCCGCCTTATATTTTGTGGTGGAGGTGGATAGACCATGGATACTGGGGTGCTGTCGTATGGCAGATAAAAAAGGTTCAAGGGAGAGAATGAACAACAACGGTGACAGTGGGTATCCCTGTCGGGTCCCGTTATGCAATGGGAAAAGGGGACGAAAGGGGACCATTCACCCTGATTCTAGCAGTTGGGGAGGAATACAGAGCCGAGATCCAAGCTAGCATTCTGGGGCCTATCCCTAGGGCATTCAGAGTAGAGAGCATGAATCCCCAGTACACACTGTCGAATGCCTTTTCAGCATCCGTGGACAGGAGTAGGACAGGGGAAGTCGTCTTGTGGACTAGATGGATCAGGGTCACCGATTTAAGAGCACTGTCTCTGGCTTCCCTCCCTGGGACAAATCCGACCTGGTCAGGGTGTATCCAACTAGGCAGGAGTGGGCTAAGCCTAGAGGCCAGAATTTTAGCATAAAGTTTGGTATCTACGTTCATCAGGGAGATAAGGCGGTAGCTGGTGCAGCTCGATGGATCCTTACAAGGTTTAGCTATAAGAGTGATATGGGCTAGTAGTGATTCCGGGCTTATGGGAGAATCCGTGTCGATTGAGTTAACATAATGGCAGAAAGAGGGAGCTAATAAGTCCTGGAAGTGTTTGAAGTATAAAAGGGGGAAACCGTCCGGCCCAGGGCTTTTACCTAAGGTGGTGGATTTGATAGCTTGCCTGAATTCCTCTAAGGTTATGGGGGAGTCCAGGGAACGCAATACATCCTCTGGAAATACTGGCATATTTGCGGTGCGGAGATAAGAATCAATCCTATTAGGAAGGTCAGAGGGTTATGTGTACGAGGTAGGTATTGATGAGTAATGGGAGTAATCGTGCTTTTTCAGGTGAAACACTCTCCAGACAACCACCAGTTGCAGACCGTGAGGGGTTCTACGGACCGTGTTCAAGTGAGATTTGGGATTACGTGCCAGTCCCGTAGAAGTGTCTATGGAGGGATCTAGGCAAAAGTTAAAATCTCCAGATACTATCATATGGCCCATACGAAAATCTCTGAGTTTACCCAAAATTTTCCTAAAATAACGAGCTGGTGAGGAATTCGGACAATAAACGTTGGCTAAAGTATAGGTAACACCATACAGTGCAACATGTAAAAATAAATATCTGCCTTCAGGGTCTATCTGTTAATCAATGACCGAGAAAGGGACGTCTTTTCCAAATCTGATGGCGACCCCTTGTCCCTTTTCGTGGGTGAAGTGCAGAAGTGTCAGTTCGGAAAGAACTTAGAGCATAAGCGTAATGTAGAGTCATGGAAAGTATGTGTCTCCTGTAGGAAAATCACGTCTGCACGTATCCTATGTAGTTCTGCTAAAATGTGGTGTCGTTTAGCAGGGGCATTGAGGCCACTAACATTATAGGTCACTACTCGAAGGGACGCCATCATGATCTTGGAAGAGCGGATTGCAATGCATCGTTGGAGCCCAGACTAAGGGCAACCCCTTAAGGAGACAAAGAGGGAGGACGGACATGGGAAAGCATGGTTAACAACAGGGAAGGAAACAGAGACATGGGGGACAAAAGGCCAGACAAAACACAATATCTCGTGCGCCAAATAAAGCATGTAAGCTATGTCTCCTGGTCCAGCAAGGACCAAGGGAGAGGCCGCCTAGGGAAAATATGTTTGTTTAAATAATGAATGTAAGATGATTTCATATCAGCATGCAGAGCTGCACACTGATGTGATTTTTAATCAAAGGGGGTCATTTAAAGCCAATTACACCTTTACAGATCACCATAATTTCACCTTCCTGAGTGACACCAATGCATTTCACCGAATGGTGAATTGTAACCAAAATTGTCCGATTTTTGCTAGGATTTCGGCAAAGTGAAAACTCCATATTGCTCATCCTCTAGTGCTGAACTCAGCATACAGAGGATGCTTGCAGTAGTAGTATATACTGGGCACAGGATTCAGAGAATGACTATTGCTTTGTGGTCACAAATGGTTTTCAGCAAAGCTGCATATGCAAATAGGTGGTTAAATGAATCCCTGTAAATGAAACCCTGAAAAGAAATGTAATTTACTTTTTGTACTATGCAGTACAATATTTGTTTTTTATTTAAATGATAATTCCAATGTAAAAATAAACCTTTTTTTCTATAGGTAAAAATGAAGAATAATTCACTTGGTGCACTACAGTGTCATTCACCATCAGTGGCACCCCAACACAACTCACGGTGCCCTGTGTGGTGCTAAAGCTAAAAAATGCAACAGGCACCATCATTTTGTGAGTTGACGTGCATTGCGCCTCATTCACTGTGGATAAGCTGCCTCATTACAGGAAAACTAATGCATTGCAGCACACTCTGTTGTGGTGTGAATGAGCCCTTAGAGTTAAGATTTACTTGGTGTGAATGGGCCCTTAGAATTAAGATTTAGTTTAACCAAACCCAACTCCCCACCCTTGGGGAGTAGATCAACAGCACCATCTGCTGGTAATTTTAAGCTGACCCACACAAAACACTGAATAAAATATTGTAAAGTTAAATGAAAATTGACTTTATTGTTTATACATTTTATTCTTCAGATTGTTACGGTTTAACAGACAGCTATCAGCCTTCTGGATTAGCACTTTTCTATTTTCCTGTTTATTCTGTTATTTGCTGTTTTCTTTGCTCGTTGTACCTTACCAATTATAGAAAAAAAAAAAAAACTGTCCAAGCCAGATTTTTTTTTTAAAACTGTCCAAACAACGACATATTCTCTGAAGGCACACCTGAACAAACAATACATTGTTGTATTTTTCATTACACGTTTCAGTTAATTTTTTGTCTTTAACTTGAGATTTTCACTTCTTTTTCTTTGTATGTCTGAATCCTCTCACAGATCCATGCCCAAAGCAGATTGTAGAAGGAACCCTTAGAAATACAATAGGAAGCAAATTATGGAAATATGTTCAATGCAGAAAAATTAATATTTCAAGTTGTATGGTTTTTGACACCAGTAGCTCGATCTGTTTGGTTATCCCCCTGGCCTTATTTGCGAAAGCCAGAATTATTTGTCATACCCAATAACTTAGCTGCTAGTTTTAAGACCCCCTTCACATCTGCCTGTTCAGTTTTTACTGCTTGCAAGTTAGTGTGTGGCATTTTGCGTGTTTATGTATTAAGGCTGCCAACACACAACAAAACTGATCTGCACATGGTAGTGCATTGTGGTGTGCTGCAGTATGGGTCCATGTGGTGTGTGCTATCACAATAAATAAGAGTGAAAGGGAACATGATACAGACAAATGAGAATGGCACTCTGCTGTATAATACTGTCTAGTATTAGATGTGTTAGCCTGTATATTATTTAAAACAAATCACACATATTTCACATTCTTCCAAGCTTCACAGGGATGTTCTGACACAAATGACAGGATAAGTTACCTGGACTTGCTATAGGTATGTGAAGTAGTGCTGTCACTAGCAGGCATTTCACTGATCTCCATGGATTCTACCACAGGCCTGTCATCAGGTGTAATGTCCATGGAAAGTTCTTTGGCTGTGTTACTGTCTAGTTTTTTTTTGCTGCACAAAAAACATAGACATGTTGAGACATTTCAGATATTTAATACAGGTCTTGTAAATTTGTTTTTAATAGCATTTACATTTTTCTTAAAGTTACACTTAACAGGGATTATTAAGGAATTGACCAAGACCACCTGATGATCTTTGAACCAACAATTTCACATTAAGCCTGGATGCTGGTAGATCTTTTCATGGTATTGTCTAAGGGATGGAGAAACCATAAAATTGTGGTCCACGGTCTGGTGCCTACAGAAACCACCCTCCCAGTTGGCATTGCAGCAATGTATCTGGCTAGAAAGAAGACTTTTTTTTAGTGCAAAGAAGATCCAGGATTCTTCTCATGTAGCTTGCCTGTCCTCTTCTCCCTCATGATGGTTAGCATTGTCCAACTGCATGCAGTCAGAAAGACGTCTGCGAATCTGACAGCAGTTACAGAGTGTTAATCTACTGTATATAGCTGATTTCTTTTGGAGAGCAAAGTCCTGACACCAGCTAGGCAGCTTTGATGATATAAAACTGGCATCCAAGGTGATTCCATAATGAGCTGCAATCACAAGACTTCCAATTGAAAATGTGTTCTAGAAATAGGAATCACTAGAGGTACCACATAGCATCCATAGAGAGATGAAAGGTCTCCGACATTGTTTTGCTTGCAATTCCAGTAATGTAGTTAGTTTCCATTGTAGAAGTTAGGGGTGTCACTGGGTATATAGTGCTGCCTCCTGAAGCAAACCATACAGTGCCAAGTCTGAACCTTTTCCTCAGTTATCACTGATCATTTGAAGAACAGTGTCGAATGCATGGCTCACTAAGATTACAAATGTAATGGGAGTGAAAGGAGCAAACCATACTAGGCATCGCCAAGTCTGAACTTTTCCTTAGTTTTTACTAAAGCCTTAATAGCTAGGCAACCTTTATGTAAAGCAATGTTTTCAAGTTTTTTCACTGACTCTTGGATTTGCCTCACTATTTCACCCAGTAGACACAAATAAAAAGCTGATCAGGCCATCAATTAAGAAGGTAGGCTGTTCAAATATACCATATGACAGGTCTAAATGCTGAAATACTTAACTTCCCTCTAAATAGTTTTCCAGTCTCTTGTTTGATTTTAGATTAGAATTTTTATAAACAGCCACGTCTGAGAGAGGGATGTGGTCTTCTAAGACAACCAACAAATCAGAGCATCCACAACGGACGGCTTTGTACACAAAATCAGTTTCCACGTTGGAAAAGTTAGGACGTGAAAAGCCACTTCAGAAACCAATTTGATGGTCAACTCATTGTGAAGGATAAAGGCTTATCCACGACTGTGGCATTGTCCTTATTTGTGGGTATAACCTATTACGTTTTTTATCTGGCAGACCTAATCTTTGGAAGTTTGTTTTCTATTTGCTGCATGTAATGTGGGAGTTTTGGGGGGGGGTTTTGCAGAATGATTTCATTATGTCAAACTCTTGTTTATCAATAATTACTGTATGCATACAGGAATGCAAAATGCAAACTCACTTATTAGATTTCTTAGGCTTGTCAAATCGGAAGTCAGAAGGATACAGGTGAGTCTTGATCAAATGGTTTTTCCGCTCCCCACTGGTTTTAAATTTCTCCACACATCCTTCAACTAAACACTGGAACTAGGTGACACACAAAAGATCATAATTACAATATGAAAGGCATTAATTGTTTATGCTTCATAAAATTCCTAACTACGGTATCATCTATTAGATAATCACATGACATTTATACATGGATTTATTAGCTATAGATTTTTTTACATAAATTAAATTACACAGCTAATATTAACTTTGTAAAAATATACAGTAGCTTTAGGGCTAATGTAGATGAGCGTTCTTATCAAAGACATGTGTTTCCATGCAAAAAGGTCACAAAAAGCTGTTTGCAAATGTATCTCTATAGGACCTGCTATGTTCATAGAAATGCAATGCATAGCACTTCAAATGCAGCCTCAGAACTGTCTTCCACAGTACTTTATTGAAGTAAATGGGAATCTAAAGACCTCCATTTGACGTGCGCCTGAACTCAAACAGTAAAAATATGTTATGGTATGGGAACACCTATAAATGTTAACTGTACTAAGAAGTACTCTGACAAATCTATATTTTGCCTTGAATAGTATTGCATTGTGCCAAAGCATGGATGTGCCTACAGCCTCACAGCTACATATCTACAGATAGGAGGCATTGCTATCCTCAGGAGATTTAGAGTGGGATCTGGTGATGGTACTTCTATGCTGCTTACTGTTCTCCCTGCTGGAGAGTAAGCTGTACATGAATCTCCCTGCTTTTGCTTCATCCATTCTGTGAATCTGCACTGCATGAACTAGGCATTTTGACAAGTACCTGTACTTGTCAAAATGCCCCGATACATAGTGCCGAAGCTTGCGCTATGTTTTTTTTTTTTGTTCTTTACTGACCTTGCCGAGCATCGCGTCACTGCTTCTCCGGTGGGTTGCGCTCAAGGTGAGGTCCTAATTTAGGTGGCCGGCGACTGCCCAGAGGACCCCACTGGAGCAGCAGTAACGCGACGCTCCTCTTCAGCTCAGCGCCAACGACGTCCTCACGTGTGAGGAAAATCGTGAGGCACCGCGATCGATCGTCACATACAGTAACCCATAACTGTTTTCATTGCAGGACTATCATAGCACATCTCCATGTTCTAGCAATACTGTACATCTCCTTGTTCTAGCACATCAGTGACGCGACGCTCACCGATGTGCAGCTTAAATGATCCATAGTACATAATATGTACATAACATGTTATGTACTATGGATCATTTAACCCATTCATGTTAGCAGGGCAGAATTGTAACTATTGCTGCAGTGTATTCTATATGTAGTACATGTACAGTACGTATTCCCTATACACTGCAGCAATAGAGTTACAATTCTGCCCTGCTAACATGAATAGGTTAAATGATCCATAGTAAAACTACATGTTATGTACATATTTAACTATATGGATGAATAAACCCATTCATATTAGCAGGGGAGAATTGTAAATCTATTGCTGCAGTGTATTCTACAGTGTATTCTACAGTGTATTCTAGCAGGGCAGAATTGTGAGCGCCTCCCACAAGCTGAGCACCGAGACGCAATGCAGCGATCCTGCCCAGCGCCGACTACAAGAGGCACCGTGTGAGGCAACATAGTTCGGAGTGAAACTGTGAGTGAGGGAAGCTGGGACAGGGCTGGCTGTAAATCTATTGCTATAGTGTACTGTAAGTGTGTACTGTATATGTAGTACATATATACAGCACACACTTCCACTACACTGCAGCAATAGATTTACAATTCTCCCCTGCTAACATGAATAGGTTAAATCATGATTCATAGTACATAACATGTTGTTGTACTGGGAATCATTTCAAGTCACCTGTCCCTTTAAGAAAAAGTATCGGTAATTGGTATCGGCAAGTACATGAGGGGAAGTACTTGTACTTGGTCTTGAAAAAGTGGTATCGGGACAGCCCTAGTATGAACCTCTCCTGCTTCTCCTTCAATATTACTCCATCAGTCATGAGACCACCAATCATTAGACGGCAGTTCTAATCTGAGGAAGCAAAGCCCTGTCTCTACTGAATGGCTGGCTCCAAGCATAGAGACGCAGTGTGGAACAAGGCATGATAAGTCAGGAATGGGGAAGTGATCAGCTGCAGGGGGAACCACAGGCAATACTGGTGACTATTGCACTGCCTTTTTTAGGTTTACAGCCTTTGCAGTTCAGGTTTAATTATAAATGTTTTTGGCTTACATTTGTGTCACTTAACATTAAATGCCAGCTGACGTGAAGATTATTTAGTATAATTTAGATGTAATGATACAGTCTTACTTGTGATTGTTACATTAATAATTTTAGCTATTATAAGGTTAAGGGTAAAGTGGAAGTAAAGTAGAAAAAAAAATGCTAGAAGGAAAACTGCTCCCTCCTTCCCCCAGCAATTTTTTTATTTATTTTCTGTATAAACTATACAGCACATGTGCTGTGCATTATAGACTCTCAGCTCATTCATGGCATCTCTAGGACAGATGCCAGGGAGGATTTTACTCCTATGTGCAAGCACAGGAAATACATCATTATTGGCCACCCAATGGTCGAAGAAGATGCTTGGCAACCTGGAAGTGGCAGTGGCAAGGTAAGACTAGGTTCACACCTGGGCGACTTCTGACCGCATGGCAATCGTGCACAAAACCATGCGGATTGCTGCGCGGTCACGGAGTCGCCCACCACAGCTGATCACAATGGAGGTACCATCATTTTCTAATGGCACCCCAGTCGCAAAAAAAGCAGTGCGTCGTGTGTTGCAAAAAAAGGTACTTGTACCTTTTTTTAGCGATTGCCACTTTGACGTAACCCCATTGAAATCCATGGGGCCGTGAAGCAACCGCTGTGTGCACTAGCATACGTTCGCGCGGTCCCAGGACGTGCGTCCCGGGTGTTGCGCAGGTCTGAACCTAGCCTCAGTGTGCAGATATGGACATTCAAATATTTTCATATTTTCAACAAGCCATAAATGAACTGTAAAAGCAACCAACACTGACCTCTGACCTTCTTTTTAAGAATATGCAAGTACCAGGGATGCACCGATACCGTTTTTTCGGAATCGGGTACGAGTACCGATATTTATATTTTGGTGCTTGCCGATACCAAGTACTGATACCCCAGGGGTGTGGAGATTTTTTTTTAAAACTACATGTCCAAGGGCTAAAGCGGGAGCCGAATCTACTTGTCCCTCATGACAATCTACTTGTCCCAATACAAAAACATCGTTTTAATCAAAACTAGGGATGCACCAATATCGTTTTTTTGGGTATCGAGTACGAGTACCGATATTTTGCTTTCGGTACTCGCCGATACGGAGTACCGATACTTCCGTTGGCATGGAGCAGGCTTCCCGGGCAATCAGGAAGTCGGGCAGCGGGTAATGACATGCCATCCGGCTTCCTGATTGCCAGGGAAGCTGACTCCATGTTGTTTGGCTGGCTTGATTGTGATTGGCGGTAAACCGGCTGCCCAGCCAATCAGCATCGAGCCAGCTTCCTGACCAATCAGGAAGCCGGGCGGCTAGTAATGACCTGATTGGCCGGGAAGCCGACTTCCCAGCCAATCAGCAAGGAGCTGGCTTCCCGGCCAATCAGAAAACGGGGAGGCGAGTCATTACTTGCCGCCCCGCTTCCTGATTGCACGGGAAGCTGGCTCCATGTTCCCCTACGGCACTGCTGGTCAGAGGAAATAGTGCATCCCACCTTTCAGGGCTTCTGTGGTGTTTCACAAGGCATATGAACATAGAGGATACATTCAATGTCTGCTCAATGTGTTGTAACTCATTGGGACTTATAAAGTGACTATAGCATGCTTGCTAACATCTCATGATCAGTTTAACAGAAACAGTAATGTGGTACTACATGCCATATTGGTTTTCTCTGCCATAATCTCAAATAAGGAATCGTGCCACTCCAAGATGTGAATGTCCAGGAGTCGGGCAGATGGGAAGGAGCGTTTACAGGTGGAGCAGACATTTCGATGCAGGGTGTTGTAATGATGTTCATATGATTCTAGAGTGTCAAAGACCTGAGAGCAACCCGCCGTCTGACACTGAAACTCCGACACCCTGAAATGAAGTAAACCACAAACATAATGATAGTGGGGATATATATTATATACATCAAAGTTATTAGTTCTGCCTAATTGGAAAGTTTATATTAATACACCAAATTATTGCTCTGCATCTTTTGATAAAGCTAAAACATTTGCCAATATCGTCTATATATATGCCAATGTAGAAGTGAACTGACCAATGGAAGATATCCCTATGTGAAGGAAAACTGTAGCTCTCTTAATGTAAATAATTTTATCAATGTGTGTTGGTGATTTTAAATCCTTGTTTCTATGTATAGTTTATATACAGTTGTGTGAAAAAGTGTTGGCCCCCTTCCTGATTTTTCATTGTTTTGCACATTTGTCACACTTTAATGTTTCAGATCATCAAACAAATTTAAATATTAGTCAAAGATAACACAAGTAAACACAACATGCAGTTTTTAAAGGTAGGTTTTTATTATTAAGGGAAAATAAAATCCAAACCCACATGGCCCTGTGTAAAAAAGTGTTTGCCCCCTAAACCTAATAACTGGTTGGGCCACCCTTAGCAGCAAAAACTGCAATCAACCGTTTGCCATAACTTGCAATGAGTCTGTTACAGCGCTGTGCAGGAATTTTGGTCCACTCACCTTTGCAGAATTGTTGTAATTCAGCCACATTGGAAGGTTTTCGAACATGAATCGCCTTTTTAAGGTCATGCCACAGCATCTTAATAGGATTCAGGTCAGGACTTTGACTAGGCCACTCCAAAGTCTTCATTTTGTTTTTCTTCAGCCATTCAGAGGTGGACTTGCTGGTGTGTTTTGGATCATTGTCCTGCTGCAGAACCCAAGTTTGCTTCAGCTTGAGGTCACGAACAGATGGCCGCACATTATCCTTCAGGATTTTTTGGTAGACAGCAGAATTCATGGTACCATTTATCACAGCAAGTCTTCCAGGTCCTGAAGCAGCAAAACAGCCCCAGACCATCACACTACAACCACCATATTTTACTGTTGGTATGATGTTCTTTTTCTGAAATGCAGTGTTACTCTTACTGTTAATGGGACACACACCTTCCAAAAAGTTCAACTTTTGTCTCGTCAGTCCACAGAGTATTTTCCCAAAAGTCTTGGGGATCATCAAGATGTTTTCTGGCATAACGGAGACGAGCTTTTATGTTCTTTTTGCTCAGTAGCGGTTTTCGTCTTGGAACTCTGCCGTGCAGGCCATTTTTGCCCAGTCTCTTTCTTATGGTGGAGTCATGAACACTGACCTGAACTGAGGCAAGTGAGGTTCTTTTTTTTTTGCTCGCGCGCGCACGGGCAGAAAAAACCCGTCCAATGCAAAGAGCCGTTACCGGCTGTTTCATATATATGCGATCGGCGGCTCTATAGCCTGCCGATCGTGCATATGTGCTGGCTAGTAAACCGGTGATCTGTCCCCAAAAAACTGTATAAAATTCATTTCAGTACAGCATTGCATGACGGAATAAATGTCAGTCAAAGTACCACAGCGCTAAATACTGAAAAATGGCCTGGATGGGAAGGGGGTTTAACACCGCGGACTTCAAGTGGTTAATAATTAAAACCTTCCTTTAAAAACTGCATGTTGTGTTTACTTGTGTTATCTCTGACTAATATTTAAATTTGTTTGATGATCTGAAACATTTAAGTGTGACAAGCATGCAAAACAATGACAAATCAGGAAGGGGGCAAACACTTGTTCACACAACTGTATGTCCACTACACAGGGCAGAATCATGTTCAGTTTGCCGTTGTTGACCCGTCCCTCGGCGTCTTCATGTCTACGGCATTAGATGTGATGATGTCAGCGGTCCTTAGACCGCCAGAGCCCGGGGGAGAAGAGGCTGCAGGAACCAGTCTAGCAGCACAGTGTGGGTCCAAGTGCAGACACCTGGACTCACACGCATGTGCCGATGACAGCGTACAGCCGCGTCCTCCCATAGGGAAGAACAGGTTGCTGCGTGCAATTACACGCAGCACTTGTCCCTTCGAGGATCGGCCTATTTACGGGCGTGCACGCCCCACAGATGTGTACTCCCGGTCTGAATGAAACTTCAAAAATTCTATACACAGTACGGTAACAACAATACAACACTAAGGCTCCGTTCACACATGTTGTTCACACTAGGACGACGTCCGTGGCACACCAAGACGAGCATCCCGCAAAAAAGTCCAAGCCTGATTATCTGGGCGGATTCCGCATGTTTCAGCTATAAAAAACAGCCGCAATCCGTGTGTATGTTAAAGTTTGTGCGTTTTCGCGTACGTGTGAATGGAGCCTCAGGTACACATAAATAAAATTTTCGCAGATTATGTCAGGATTTCATCTTTCTACTACAAATACAAAAGAACTATAGGATGGGCCTAGAAAACGAAGATAATATGTTCTCAATGAAGGAACTTTCTACATACTTCGATCTCTCTTCTACTTCTCCAATGCCTGTCAGCACATCTTCCAGGTATAAGTGGCGATGAACATCTCCATCCTATGAAACAAATTGAGATTTAATTCATTAAACATCTACCGTATTTGCCGGCGTATAAGACGGCTGGGCGTATAAGACGACCCCCCCCTTTTTGTGTAAAAATATAGGTTTTGGGCTATACTCGTCGTATAAGACGAGTATAGCCCAAAACTATGTTTAAATGCACTTACTAACCTCCTTGGCGGTATTCCCGAGTGTGGCTCGGGGGTTAATTTTCAGTACCATAAGTGTTAACCCCGAGTCACACTCGGGATTACAGTCTCTTAACTTGTCCAGGATCCCAGCAGCGTCCTCCATCTTCCGTCCTTCAGCTACTACCGCGCTGAGCCAATCACGGCAGGTTTGTATTCTTTAATACAAAGCCTGTATTTACTGAATGCGAAGCCTGCCATGATTGGCTCAGCGCTGAGCTAATCATGGCAGGCTTTGTATTAAAGAAGCTACATACAGTATACCGAAGTATACCCGGCGTATAAGACAACCCCGATTTTTCTTATACGCCGGCAAATACGGTATGCCATTTTCTTCTGTCTGTGACTTCCCAAAGTTTGAATTACTTTTCTCCAGTTCAGAGATACATATCAACTTTCTATTGTATCTAAAACCAAAAACAGAAATGGAATATATTGCCATTCACCAGTCCTTAGATGTAGCTGCATTCGTTTTCATTTTTTCAGGCATATATTCCTATTTTTTCACCTGTTGATCCTGCCAGTAACACGCTTCTTTCCTAGGGTGACAACATTAATTTACCATACTGTATCTATGATGCGTTGTCGCCCTAGGACAGGAAGTATGTTAGGACTACAGAACACCACCCCTTTCCTTAACGCTATACCATATGGGAAGGTGTTCTGCAGTCCAGCAATAGAAATGAGAACAATGCTAACTGATAAGTCAGCAGAGGAAGACACCACAGAATGTTAATAGTTCACAAGATTTCTGGTAGGATCAATGGCTATAACTAAACACTTTAAATGGTATACTTTGGGAGCAAATAAGAGACTTTGTAGATTGGGTCTACATATTTCCTTCCCCTCCTGTCCCATAGCCACAACAGGGAGTGAGAGGAAACCCTCCAAAGAAAGGGAAATCCCGCAGGTCAGCAGAATCGTCAGAACTCGTGTCCCCATTAGAATATTTCCCATCTATTCCTGTTCTGATGACAACACAAAATTTGGTATTGTCTTTCACTTTCAGTGATAACGATCACCAGGGCAAATAGAGGTGGATCAGACAGCAATAAAAACCCGACAGGTGTTCTAACCCCTCTCCACTCTATTTAGTCTTTAGTTGCACTTTAATTCTTGAAGTTAACCTGCATCCAGACTATGCACAATAAATTATATCATTATATCACATATTCTGAGCAAGCCGTTAAACCATTTCATAACAACCCTCATTCGCCTCTGTAGCTATTGTGGAGAAATTAATCTTTAAATTTCACAACAAAGGGAATGAAATCTCCTCTTCTCATTACTTTGAATTGCACCAGAATCTTGACAGCTTGCCAGTCCTCTCATGTAAACACACAACTGACTGAAACTGACTTTGGAGCCTTTGTTGTGATCTTTAGTTTGTTTACACTCCCTTGACCAACTATTGGCTTCCTTGTGGAAGCTGTGAAGCCACCCTAATCACTTTCACGTGTGTGCTAAAATGCAGGACGCCCCCCGCCATTTATCCCTGGCTTACCTATCCCTCCTGGGATCTCCATATGGGCGTGAGCAAGAACAGAGGAGGACAATCTATGAGCATCCATTTGCTGATCATCCCAGTGAGTGAAGAGCGTTACATAATTTCTGGTTTCAGCGTTGTTATTCCTCAGCCGTGCTGGCCGGAAAAGAAGCTGATGGAAAATGATCTGAACACAAAAAAGATTCAAACCAGACTTCCTGATGGCTCCTTAAAGAGAACCTGTCACTTCCACTGTGCTATCACATAGGTGAGTTGTCAGCACACTTATGATAAAGTTAAGTTAAAAAACAATTGAAACCAATCGAAAAACTTTTTTTAAAAACACGTAAAAAAACATTTAAAGCCCCCCTATCCCATCTACCCGCCCCCCACCCCTACGAACATAAACATGTGCAATGGGTGTGACTGTGCCAAAAAATGATTGTACTACACATGATAGCTAACGATGCAAACACCAGCGGTGGAGTACTAATTCTACAGTCATCATTTACTGTTAATATGATGACCTGTAAAGGGTATTAAAGTGTCATCTATGGGCAATTTGGGGTATTGTAGTTTTTCACCATTTCATGCATTTTATTCTCAATCGGTGTCTGCTTTCCAAAAATATAATTCTGGGGTGTTGTTAATTATCTTCTACCTAAAATGTGCATTTAAGGTGTGTACAAAAAACGGCTCCAGCGGCGAGAAAAAATGTACATTTATTACAGATCACCCGAATTTTGATTTCATTTTACTTTACCCAGACTGCACCTAAAAAAATGACTCTGCCTCCGCTTTAAAGAATGACTCTGCCTCCCCTTTAAAGAATGACCCTGCCTCCGCTTTAAAGAATGACTCTGCCTCCCCTTTAAAGAATGACTCTGCCTCCCCTTTAAAGAATGACTCTGCCTCCCCTTTAAAGAATGACCCTGCCTCCATCGTAAAGAATGACTCTGCCTCCATCGTAAAGAATGACTCTGCCTCCATCGTAAAGAACGACTCTGCCTCCATCGTAAAGAACGACTCTGCCTCCACTTTAATGATGCTGACTCCACTTTAACAAATGACTCTGCCTCCACTTTAATGAAGAACTCCAGGATTTTTAAAATGAATGCTTTAAGTGGGGCTACAAGAGTTAAGTGCTCATTTTACTCTGGGGATGTAAGTAAAGAAAATATATTCCCCCGATCCTCACACATCCTCCGGTCACAACAGCCTCTTCTCCCCAGGCTCCGGCGGTCTAATGACCCGTGACGCCATCACTTCTAACACAGATCCATTAGACATGAGGAAGCAGGGACATACCACAGGCCTGCTCACTCTCACAGTAAGGGAGAGAGAGGTGAGTGGTCACTGCTGCCAAACTGAGAATCAGGTAAGTATATCTTCTTTATTCTGTCCCCTAGAGAAAAACGAGCAGTTAACCCTTGCAAGCCACAGCAAAGGTTTTTGTTTTTTTTAAACTGGAGTTCTTTAAAGAATGACTCTGCCTCCACTTGCAGTTCTCTTGTCACAGTGATATATGCTCACACCTCGAAGAACTGGTGATCCCGGGAGAAGCGCACAGTACTGGGGGTGAAGGTGCCGGCCTTCCCCGGGTTCTCCTCCACCGGCAGCGGCCTGGGAAGGCTTAGAACGGTGGGGGCGGACAGGGCAGCCAAGAGCTCGGGTGGAATCATGTGTGCTCTTTGTCTTCTACAATTCTTCTATCGGAGATACGTCTGTCTGCTCGTACTTCCATTCACAGATCCTACTATTGGAATCGGTCCAAGTTGACGGAGGCCACCATGTTTTTGTAGACCAAATCTTACCACTTTTCTGTAATAGGCCTGGCACTCTCTAGTCAGCGAAAGGACTTCCGCTACGTGCGGTTATTGTGCGTTCCACGCCTCGCTCGGCTTCCTGACTTCCGGCATTCCCTGCGTTCCACGACTCCCTGCAGAGCCCCGCGCTCCGCTCCCGCTGCTCTGTTGTCATGGAGACTCCATCCGGTACCCCTTGATTCGGTGTCCGGTGTTTTGTTCCTGGACGGCTCCGGTGCTCCTCTTTTTGTATATACAGTGTACAACCCCTCCGGACAGGGAGAAGCCGATGACAACGCCCCCAACCATTGATCTTCAATGACAGGTGAGGCGGGCATAGTGCTTCGCCATCCTCCGCTTCATTCCTGATCAGAGATCACCTCCCCGGCACCATGATCTGTCAGCGGGGATTGTACAGAGATCGTACTTTGTCATAAGCTAATAAAACCACCTAGATCTTATGATTAATGCAGCAATGGTGGGCACTGTTCAGGTATAATGTCATCAGGTCTATAGGTGATATGGAGGTACAGAGCCATAGTCCTGATATGACACTGATTGGATTACAGATACACGTATCACTGAATGCTAATACATATGAAGAATGTTATATTCCAGAGTTGAGGTCACCTGACCAGAGTCTCAGGCCCTCCACTGATTGATGTATATACTAGAATATGAGACTTCACACAAGAATAGAAATCTTTATATCCAGGTGTGTGACTGTTATTAAACTCTGCTGGAAACAATTGTTACTTGTTTGAAAATAATACAGAAAGTTTGACGTTCAGTTGATACCTGTTAGGCCCCATTCACATGGGGATTTTATGTGCGTCTGCAGATTCTTGCAGCAGGAATTCCAGGAGTGTCAATGCTGATGCTCCCATTGTGCCCGTTCATGTAAAGGTGCGGCGACAGCGGCCGCATCTGTTTGCATTTAATCGTACATGGAACAATTACCTGCAGATCGGGATATATGCTTGTCCCTGGATGCAGACAGATTGTGTCCAAAGACTATTGTCTATCCTGATCCACAGGTAAAGGCTCAGTGATAGGGCTCATTCACAGGGGCATGCAAAGACCGAATCCCGGGAAGATTCAGCTGCACAGTTACATAAGGTTACATGCACACCCAAATCGGCACATGCATGTGGGTCCGACTGACCGCACTTGGACACAGACAGTGTGCGTTCAAGTTCGGGCACCCGGACCTGCACAGGTGTGCAGGTTCAGATGTATGTGTAATGGCATGCAGCCACGTCTTCCCATAGGGGGAGGTACAGGCTGCTGCACGCAATTACACTCAGCACCTGTCCTTCCTAGGATCCGACCTTAGCATAGGCTTGCACGCCGTACGGAGATGCATGCCCTTATGAATTAGCCCATAATCTTCATACTAGAATTTTTATTTTTACTACATATGCACAAGCTGTTTTACCTGTCAAAGCAGCCCTGAGAGTTACACAGCTCTGCAGCACAGCACAACTCTGTCTGACAGGGCAGAAGAACTGATTTGTCACTGCTGCAGTTAGCACTTACATGTTTTATCCCTCCCCAAACTGTGACTGAACAGTGAAAGTAGAAGCATCAGTCTGATGAGCTTTTCTCCCTGTCACTCTGCTCTCTTATCCTATCAGCATGTTTCTTGGACTGCAGCACAGCTGTTTGGCTCCTTTTGCTGCTTTTTTATTCCCCAGTTTGAGCTCTGTTGTACAGTGCATTGTAGAAAACTGATACAAGGACAAATTCAAGGAACTTGCATAGCTTGTATTAAACAAAATACATTTATGGGTGTGTTCATGGATCCATAGCTGTATTAATGTGTGTCTTTCATATCTGCCTGGAGTTCAGCTCTACCTAAAACTGGGAAAGCAGGAAAAAAGGTCTACTTTTATGATTTGTGTAAAAATACCGCACAGAGGGGGGAATTTATCAAAGCTGGAGCAGACAATATCTGGAGCAGTTGCCCATAGTAACCAATCAGCGTTTTAGCTTTCATTTTCAAAGCTTATTTGAACAAACCTGAAGATGGACTTTAATTGGTTCCCATGTGCACCTGTTCCAGATTCTTTCTGCTCCATTTTTAGTATGTATGGTTTATTATGTGATTGAACCACAATAGTTTTCTCATGTCTGTCCTAACTTGTGTACCTTCATTGTTAAACCAGCAGATGTGTGACAATGAGTGAATTCCGAATACATCACGATGTGAATGAGCTAATCAGCCTGCTCCGTGTTCATGGAACTGAGGGAGCAGAGCTTTACATTGACCTCCTGCAGAAGAATCGCACCCCATATGTCACCACAAGTGTGTCTGCTCATGGAGCCAAGGTAACAATATGCTGATTTCATTCCATGCTGATTAACATGAGAACTCACCTCCCTCAACTCTTCAACAGAGAAAACCAGGGGAATTTACTAATCAGTAACCAATCAGCTTCTATCTTCAGCTTGTTCAATCAAGCTTTGAAAATGAAAGCTATAAGATGATTGGTTACTGTGCACAACTGCTCCAGTTTTAGTAAATCCCCCCCATGAGTCACATTAACAATTGCATACATATGCCTCACTATTCTTGACACATTGCTAACTGTACTCCCACAATTCAATTTTTTTTGTGTGTGGAATTACCTTAAAAAAACGGACATGAGTGAAACATTGCCACTGCCATTGCTGAGCTCTGCTGAAGATGTTTGTTGCCCAGCTGCCATGCTCATCCGTTCACTTTAGTACTTTGATACAATGGGGGGAATTAAAGTTGTACAGTACCAGCATGTACTATCCTGTTATAACAACAGCATTGTAATAGGAATACATACTAGAGTTGTTTTTGATAATACAATCAAAGCTTTCATGAAAAAACCCAATTTATGTAAAGAATGCTGCCTTCTGTCTGTCAATCACTTTCAACAACTTCCTGGATTCCCAGTGTGCTTTGCATCTTTTCCCCTGCTGCTTGATGTGATGCAATCTCCATTTCGCAAGACTACATATCCCATCATGCATTGCTTCCAGCCAGCAGTGATAATGTTAAATTGTTTAGTCTTTGAGTTTTAGTTCAGAAAGCCGGCTCTGTTAGTGTTGTGACACAAGGAAGTACATATTCACAGGGCTGAGTAAAATTGTGTCGCTGCATTGAGGAAGTGCATCTTGTGGGCATCTGCAATCAGTAAGTTTACAAACTTCTAGATCGATCTGATTATTAGGAGTGGGTAGAACTTAGGGAAATTCAATGTAGAAATATATATTTATGTTTAGTTTTTGACCATAGATACCCTTAAATAAAAAGAGTGACAGAAATATTCTCAACTGAGGAGCAGCCATTCAGCTTTTAAATTTTAACAGCTGTGTGGGGGGAGAAAATTAAAGATAGAAGTTGATTGGTTGCTATGGGCAACTGTACCAGTTGAGATAGAACTTTTTATTAATCACCTCCATGAGGTTTGTAGATGATGCATTTGTCTTTTCTTACTTCCTGCAGACTTTGTAGCAGCCCACTACAGGGCAATCTCTAATGTAAACCTTAACTTCAATGGAGAAAATTGGCCTACAGCGTGTTAGGAGGTCATGATGGGTGGGTTTTGGAGGCTGCTCTAGGTTCCCTTTATATCTATAGTAGGTGCATGTATATTTTCAGCAGTTTTGCCCCCTCATTAAAAAGTACCCAAAAACTGCTGATTTCAGCTATTGGAGAATACTTAACTTGGCTTTAATTAGTTTAGAACTCTACTTTGTATGATCTTCATGTTAGATCAATGATATCCCTATTGCTTATTAATGTAATCGCTAGAATTATAATACATAGAAAAACAAGGGGAACGTTTAACACTGGCTTTAGGGACATCATATGGAATCTGAACCTTATCAAGTAAAACTCGGCCGAAAACCAAATGTAATCATGCAACCCTGGAGAAAAGCCCAAACACTTTAGTAGTGTCATGTGAAACCGGTCATCTGTCACCTTTATTATGATCTAGCTGGGAATTTAAGTCCTGAAAATTTAACTCAACAGTTTTTGGTAAGAAAAATGAAAAATCCTTATTTCCGTATTGGATTAATACAACATGTGCTATGTAGGTGAAAATATCAGAGTTCTCAAGGACGCCGGAGGATTTTCTTAAGAAATATGAAGAGTTAAAGTCCAAGAATGCCCGTAATCTGGACCCGTTGGTGTACCTACTATCCAAACTCACAGAAGACAAGGAGGTAAGGCAAGACAATTGTGTGATACAGTTTCAATGTTGCTTACATCATCTTGCTCTCTGTGTGTCCTTCATTCCCAATTTAGTGTTGTCTAGGTCTTGCTTCACAACATACATTTGCACAGAAATATCAATCACGGATATAAGATGGTAAATAATAATGTTTAAACAATTATGTGTATAGACAGTTGTATTACCCAGGTATCTCTGCATGGGGATGACACAATGGTGCCAACCTAATCTGAAGAAAATAGGGGTGACCTGGGAAGATTCAACTTTGCTGAATGATAGACTTTTCAACTTTGGAACAATTGGCCAGAGGTGATCACCTTGATCTAAAACTAGCCATAGACAAAACAATTCTTGACCATTTTATATAAAATCAGGTACTGATAATCTTATTCTGTGAGTAGCTTAGATTGGTTTTCTACTATCAATTACTTGAAGTCAGGAGGGGATTACCAGCTTTTTATATATATATATATATATACAGGGCTCGAAAATCTGCTCGTCTGTGACGAGCAGACAGTGGAGCCCGACTTATCTTTAGCTATATTATATATAACCATAATGCTACCACAGGTCCTACAGAGCCACTATTTGGCTCCTGTAATGTGATCGCCGTGATTAGTCAATCATAGGGATTATTGTAATACACTTTCCCTGCTGACAGTC